GATTCCGAATGACTCAACATATTTTATATTATTTATATCGCTGAGTGCACGTCGCTTGGGTAGTGTCAATGCTAGTTTTTTTGACGTTTCAAATAGAATCCAACCTTCTTCTACCCAGCAAATGGATGCAAGTATAATGCATTACCCATTTTCACTGGTTTATTCGAAGTAGCGTTTTTTCTGGCTTCATGTGCAGCTCTTACAATACTCGATACTTCAACAGCCATCGACCCTAAAGCTGAAAATACAGCAAAAATTGGAACGAATGGTAGGACACCACAAAATTTAGGTACTCTGATAGTGCAAAGTATTTAAAATTTTTATTTTTCCTTTACGGCAACACTGTGGGCCGTCTTAAAACTGCCATTAGATGTTACTTCAGGCCAGCCCACGCCGTTTATATTATTCACGCAACCACGTTGTGAATCAGCCAGACATTAATCAAGAGTCGGAAAGAGCGTGTCCACCGCCCTTTCCGGCATGTCCGCCTCCAGCTGACCCGAAGCCGGTGAACCGACTTTACGAGTTCGGCTAAGCACTTCGCTTTGGCCCGCCTGATAGCGAGCTTCAGCTCTTTGCGGGCCAACCTCAGCGCCTCCCTTGGGTCCGGGGATTGGAGCGTGTCATAGTCCTCCTGATCCTGAAGCACTCCTCGCACCTGGCCGCCGCCTTCTCATTCTACCAATGGACTGGTAGTTCGCGAGTCGACGGCGGTCGTTTGGCCGAAAGGGCGAAGTCGCAGGCTGCGACCACCCAACGTGAGCTCCGCCGAGAATGCGGCCGGTCCCACGAGCCCGAGGACCGGCTGGCACTCAGGCGGATGACCATGCTCTGGTGGTGGACTCGCCTCTCGGAGGAAACGACGAAAGGCGAGTGGACCAGGTTCCTCATAGGATNCCTCTCGGAGGAAACGACGAAAGGCGAGTGGACCAGGTCCCTCATAGGACCCGATCGGCTGGACAGGTGGGTGGACCGGACTCACGGTGAGATGACTTATCGTCTCACCCAAGTGATGTCCGGCCACGGCTGCTTTAACGAGTACTTACACTGTATTCGTAAAGCAGCCGCGCCGACATGCGACCACTGTTCTTGATTACTTTCGGGCTGATTCACAACGTGGTGGTTCGAGATTTAGAGACGGCGTGGGCCGCCTTGAAGTAAAACCTCACGGTAGTTCCAGGGCCGTCCACACTTATGCTAAAAAAAAAAAAAGGCTGCAACCACTCTCCGGGCTAACTCTTCCGCCACTTCGTTCGCGGAGACGTGCCGGTCCGGTACCTCCAACGCCGACCATTGAGCGAGCAGCAAGCGCGTCTCGAATGCGTTGACCTCTGTGCCCGGTTCGACCCACCCACCGACTCGAGGGGGACGGCTGCCGTGGCCGCACTCGTTCACGATGTACCGGTGGTCGCTGAGGTCTTCCTTGTTCGGGAGAACCGACCAGCCGGACACGTGCAGGTGCAGCGACGGGAACACCAGCGTGACGTCCACCACCGAGCTCGAGGAGTGGATCCCCTGTTGGCCGATACCAGCCCAAGGGCCGACATCAGGTTCAACAGATCCTGATAGTTCGTGTCTGCCGACCCCCAGACCGGGGATTGAGCGTTAAAATCCCCGGCTACTAGCTTCTCGCAGCCGTTGCTCGGCCACCCGAGCCTCCTCGCCCTGTGGTAGGAGGAGACGGCTCAAGGAGTCCAGCGATCGGCAAGCTGGGTGGCGCGTAGCAGCTCAAGACGTCAATGCCGTCTATCCTCGCTACTACTTAACCGTTGCCCGACTCGATGTCCGCCACCGTGAGGCCGCGGTCCATCACGCCGATCGCCGCTCTTCCGGAACGGTTCAAGAACCATCCGTCAGAGTCTCGGATCGAATCCGCGTGCGGGTCCGAGATGATGCACACGTCGGCGCCCATCTCGTATGCCGCATGCTGAACCAGGTCCTGGATAGCCCGACAGTGGTTGAGATTCTGGAGGGCGTCCAGTAGTGCACTCTGCACGTCGCCCTTCTCCGTTCATTACACGAAAACGCCGGATCAGCATAAATATAAATTATTTGGTGAGATTATGGATAATATGGTAAAATTATCAATGTTTACCAGTAGTCAAAATGTACCTGAACCCGAAAAATTAGAAGCTAACTCTGTGTTTGTATTCGATGATATAATTTGTGAAAAACAAATTCAAATAACATCCGATTTATGTTTAGTCAATATCAAGTTATCGGATAGAGTATTGAAAAAAATCATACGCTCTAAACAAAACATAAAAAATAAAATACAGTTAATTTGTAGTAATGTCAAAAAATTTGAAAATTTTGTACGTACACATATGTCATCTCTGGTGAAACGTCTTCAAGAAATAGCTAATCAAAACCGTTATGAAGTGGAACAAAAACAAAAGCATAGAAGGTTAAAACTGGTATATTTTATTGTAGATATGTTAAAATATTGTATATAAACATACTTTATTGTTAAAATGTGTTAATATGGTACATTGTCACTGAAAATGGTACATTTTCGTTGACATTGGTATTTATTAGTAGATAATAAAAAATATTGAATATAAACATATTTTGTTGTTAAAGTGGTTTCATATCAGTTATTTATGTAAATTTGTTATATTATCGTTAAAACTGGTATATTTTATTGTGTATATTAAAAAATATTTTATAACATACTTAATTGTTAAAATAGTACATTTTCGTTGACATTGCTATATGTTAGTAGATAAATAAAAATATTGTATATAAAAATACTTTATTGTTAAAATATGTAAATATCAGTTATTTTGAAGTTTTTTATCTAAATTTGTTATACATTCATTAAAACTGGTTCTTTACATTTAAATTGGTACATATTCGCTGAAACTGCTACATTTTAGATAAAACTGGTACATTTTCGCGGTTTATTAAACATTTTCGATGAAATTGGCACATTTTCGTTGATATGATTATGTTTATGCTAAAACTGGTACATTTCCTTAGAAATTGGTATTTCTTAGTAGATAATAAGAATTATTGTTTATAAACATATCTTTTTGTTAAAGTGAATTCAAATCAGTTATTTTAAAGTTCTTTATGTAAATTTGTTATATTTTCGCTGTAACAGGTACGATTTAGCTGTAACTGGTACATTGACGCTGTAACTGTTACACTTTCGCTGAAATTGGTACTTTATCGCAGACATTGGTACTTTTAACAAAACACAAATCTATATACCTAGGTTGTTTAAAATACCCAATATCCAAAACACAATTATTTTATAACTTAAATAATAACAAAAATAAAATACTTATGAAATATCATGTCAAGTTTACTTCACTATATCAAATAGTTACAATAAATAAATGATGATGGATATCATGCTTTTTTAATTTCCAATTTTTAAAAAATATGTCTTTTTAATAAGTATAATAAATATTTTACAAAGCATAGTCATGTACTTGATCAAACATTTAAATACTATAACATTAAAAGGTTAATTTCTATATAGTTTATTAAATTAACTTTATGTGTTGGCACTTAATAGTAAATTGATATAACTCATTAAACATTTTTGAACATTGAGTTCATATTAACCAGAAGTGCAATAACTAATAATAATTTATCATTTACACAAAAATATTTGAACTCCCTATATTTTTTCTTCTCTAGAAATCTGAATAAATATCTATTGACTTTTATGAAATAACTTTAAAAGTTTATTCTCTTTTGTATTAAAATATTTTTATTTAAAATAATAAAAAATTATAAATATAGTATATTTACTATTATATAATAGTAAATTTTAAAATTTTTTATACTCAACGCATAGTTGTTAATTAGTTTTTATAACTTATTATTTTTTTTAATAGGTATATTATTTTAAATAAAATTATTCTTTGGGAGCATGTTTTATTTAACTTGAATGGTCGTTCTATTGAAGTATTCTTATCTTCACTTCTTATTTATATTATTTGGGATACAATTACTAGAGCCTATATTAATACTGCTAAGATACCAACTACATAAATAATGATTAAACTATAATTGTAAGTTTGTATATTCATAATTTATTAGAATTGATGAGCAATTTTTTTTTTCTTTTCAGAAAAATTTTTTGTTGCTTAAAGTGGCTACCATTAAAAGTTTTAGTGCATATACGAGAACAGCATTTGATTTTTATATGACAAGAGAAATGGCCTCAAATTTTAGTTTTTGTGGCAACATTAAACAAACTTTTAATAAGCTTCACATTTTTTAAGTACTTCGTGGTATGAACATTAAACTGTAATAAAAATGCAAATTGAATATGTTGATATATTGATAGTGCGTTACCCAGTGTGCATCATTGTGGATTATACGTTTGTAAACACTAAATCCTCGGTATATTTTAAAGCTGTGGAGGGTTTATATTTTGTTTTCGTATTATTTAGTAATTAATTATCGTTCAGANTTATTTAATAATTAATTATCGTTCAGATAATTATTAGATGGTGTATAATGCAACTAATACGACGGTTATAAATAGTGGATTTTATGTTTAATCCATGGTATATTTTAAAGCATATTTTTCTTTATATTTATCTATTAATTATACAATGAAACAACATGTTTTCGACAGATAATAGTAGGTATATATTACGATGGAAGGAAGTTGTTTATTTTACGTTTATTCAAGCGTATATTAAAAAAAAAATGTTTAGATTAATTTGTTTGTTATACAATAATTCAACGTTGATTCGTTGTATATATATATATATATATATATATATGTATATATTTATATGTTTGATTTTTTTTAAATTACTTTCTCTAATATTAGAAAGTAGTAATATATTCATTAATGAATACGTTATTTACCCTAATAAAATTTGATTTGTATATTCAAAAACTAATTGGTAAAACAGTTTGGTAAATTATAAACTAACTATTGTAACCTAAGCGTAATTTACCGTGGTATAAAAGTCGTGTGTTTATTACAAATTACTTTTATCAATACCGTTTATCAATAATAATTCATAGTCAATGTTACATCACGACAACATTTTTATCCACTTCGAATATTTTGCTTAATTTTTTATATACGTATAGCAATCGTCACTAGAATTTACTAATTAATATAAACTATTAAAGATTAATCATAAGTAGTTCTTCAAACTTAATTCCATTTTCTCGTATGCAGTAAATTATGATGGAATAAATATGAAAAATGCAAATGATGTCTTGAAGTTTATACTACAACTAAGGATTACATTAACAGGTAAAAATGTTTTATTCATATTACTAAGTATTTCATGTATGCGATATTTTAAAAACTACAAAACTCTCCACATCATTGTGTAGTGGATTTGATACTATACAGGCTTTATTAAAACCGTTTTCATGATTAAAAGTAAAATTTTCTAGTTGTCCCAAACTTTTACATTTATATACCCCAACATTGAATGATGAAATATTGATGTCATCAGCCTTGCCGAAAAGTTCATTAATGAAAATAAATCTCCGTCCTACAAAATGCATACAATTATTTTGTTTAATAAGATTTTCCACAACAAATATAATAATATTTTGGTCTTTCACTATTATACAATCATCATGATGGGTAAATTTACTTCTTTTTTCTTTAGTTCTTATTTGTATTTTAAAATGTTCCAATTGAATACACATAAATTGTTCATAAGTTCCTGTTATATGTAGTAAAGGTCCATTATTATGTTTTTCTCTATAAATGGGAAAATCTTTTGAGGTAAGTAAAAATTTTTCATCACGTGCTGATCTGTCTTCTGTAATTCTATTATATTTTTCTGTTATAGCATAACGTCCAGATTTTAAATACTTTTTTAATCTGCCCAAATAGTTTTCATACCATAAAGCATTGAAGTAATTGATGTTACCATATTTTAGTACATCGTTGGGAAGATGAAGTAAGGAATGTACATTATATGATATTAAAAATGGCCCGTAAATTATACCAAATGTTTGAAAAAAGTACTTAATTAATGATGTTGCAACATCATTTTCTTTTTTAACACGCTTTTATTAGTTTCACGTGTATGTTTGTTGTTTGTTGTTTGTTGTTTGTTTGTAGTTTGTAAGTTTGTAACTCCACGCGGCACGTGTTATTATGTCGCGTATCCCGTCGTGTATGACCTTGAGACTATACTGTTGTAATGCATTCGCCCCACCCCGCTCACCACTCGTAGACAACAATATTTTCTAACCCGTAGACGCGCGCGTGTCATCAATTATGTATATATATAACAAATTTTTATTGTAATTGACACGGCCCGCGTCGTTTCATTATACACAATGCCCCACGACTCGTGCCACCTATATCAGCCGTCGCCCTATTATGAGTATTTGACTGACCAATACCTCGCGTTATACGCCGCTGTGCAAAGTCCAGCAAGCGCCGCACGCCCGACGACATTCCGCCGCAAATGATACCGTAGTCTTCTTCCCGTTGTCAAAGTGACAACGTCTACGATTCGATCCGCACTCGCGCGCCGTCGCTATCAACGCTGCTAACCTGTTGACGTCCGAGGAACACGCCGGACAACGCGTCGTCGATGCCAGCGAAAGTGCCGCGATATTATGCGAAGATTATATATTCCTACCGCCACCGCTAATATTAATATATATATATATATATTAATATTTGTACGTATATACGTATATGTTAATATTCATTTATATATTCCTACAGCCGACGCCTCTGCTGCCGTATATGCCTCGTGTATAATGTTCCCTCCGCCATGCCCGCCCACATAAACACGGCTATACCTCATGCATGATACGTTTACGTACTTAAGTCCCTTTAAATATATATATATTCTAATTACTATTAAAATTTATATATTAATACACTTTATTCTCATTAATATATGTAGTGTATTCATTCCGATTACGGAGGATGATTTTCGTATCGTTATTTTTCGTCACTACCTCCACGTTACGCGCCTGCTGCTTTCTTTGGATGTGNTATAAATGGGAAAATCTTTTGAGGTAAGTAAAAATTTTTCATCACGTGCTGATCTGTCTTCTGTAATTCTATTATACATTTCTGTTATAGCATAACGTCCAGATTTTAAGTACTTTTTTAATCTGCCCAAATAGTTTTCATACCAAAAAGCATTGAAGTAATTGATGTTACCATATTTTAGTACATCGTTGGGAAGATGAAGTAAGGAATGTACATTATATGATATTAAAAATGGCCCGTAAATTATACCAAATGTTTGAAAGAAGTACTTAATTAATGATGTTGCAACATCATTTTCTTTTTTTTCTGTTGCTTTTGGTGATGCAAGGATTCGCATTGCACAGTAAAAAGCAATAAAATTCTTATAAATTGGTTCAGGCACTATATCTTTAAATATCAAAGCACCTGAATACATCATAATTTATCTAAATTCAGTTGCCTTAAAATCAGTATAACTATTTAGTGACTGTGGTATGCGAACAAAATCTGTGCTTAAAGATGGTGCTATAATTTCCATTATTTTATTAATGTAATCTATTTTTGTCGAAGAAAGTCAAACACAACCAAATGAACCTGTCTGTTTTATTGATCCTTTGACCATTAGGGTAATAATTTTTTTCATTATACTTTAAATTATAAAAACAACATATTAGAGTTGTCAAAAAAAGGTTTTTTATTCAAAATTATTCATCTTATAAAAATTATTGTTCTTAATATTTCTCTAGTTACTAGGGCCTTTTTCAGTTTATATATAATTATTTTTACAAATATTTATAACTAGAAAGTTGTTAAAAAATATGTAAAAAAAATTAACATCACATTAAAATTAACATAGTGATTAGCATCACTATCATAAAAAAACAATTTGATAAAGATTTGTAGATAGTATTTAATTTTTAGAAGAAATTGAAACATTCTATAACCCTGTGGGTAGGCAAAGGATCAAATTGAAATTTTTTTCAAACAAAATCAAAGAAAAATATCTAAGATAATTATAAAAAAAAAATTTTATACAATTTTATCCTATTTTAAAAAAGTTATGACAGTTTTAAGTAAAAAAAAATTGAAAAATGTTTGATATATATTATCTTAGGTATATATTAGTATTTATTTATAAAATTAAATTTAAATATACACTAATTATTGGGTTATTATTTACCTAAACAGCATAAGTGTAGATAATCCAAAGGAAAATTAGAAACCAGTCCTAAGGAATGTATTAATATGAGTGGAGAGTCTCCCGTATAATGTTTTTCATGTATTTTCTTGCAAAATGAATCATCATTTCTTAAAGTTGCGTTACCTTCAGGAAAACACATACGGTTTTCAATATGACATCCCTCTTCCGTACATTTCTCACAGGCAAAATAAGCCATATGCCCTTTAATACACTTGAGAAATGATCTATTATAATAATTTATAATATTAAATTTTATTTAATTTCTTACCTTATTTTCTATTATAAAAAAATATACCTGGCTGGTGCATCAGCGAGAAATCCTATTAGCTTGATGATATATATTTTGTCAGTTAATTTTATTCCATTCTTCAAAATAAAGTTAACATCTTCTATTAACTGACTTAAGTACTGTGTAACATCTCCTGGTTTTTTTTTTCCACAATAAATACCAATAACAAATGGAAGTATAGCATCTGTATCTATTTTAAGCCCTCCAATTATAGGCCAAAACTCGTTACATAGTATGGGTATTCCATCTATTGCTATCCATATTTGTAAAATATTCATTTGTTGAAGGTGTGTATATTGCAATAATAAATGTTTTAAACTCTCAGTTATTCCCAAATGAAAATATTCACCATTTTTTATAACTTTAATAGGTGCCATCCCAGATTTTGGACAATTTAGTGAAGTTCGTGAATCCAATGGAAGGCAATGTAACTCTGTTATGTATTTGACAGTGTGCAATAAATGCAATAATTCAGTGACTTGGTTTCTTGGTATATTAGCATTTAGCACCAAACGAGCTAACTTTTCTTGAAAAGTTATTGTTTCTAAAACTTTAGAACTTTGTGTATCAGGTTTTAATATTATACTGTTTTCATCCTTTTTAAAATAAAAATCTTCAGAAGCTCTATGAGATTCTAAATCTATTTGTTCTATACCTTGTGATGGTTCTATTATCATTTGTTCTAATGTGTTCTGTGAAATATCCTGAGGTGTTATACTTATATACTTTACATCCCTTTGGTTTAGCAACCTTGATTGATTACGCCTCGTTTGGCTTTCATGTTTCATTAATCTTGAGGGAATAAAAGGTTTCTTAGGCATTTTTAGAAATTAAAATAATTTTATATATTTAAATTGACTAAAAAATCGTAAAGATTTATAAGTATCAATACTTTTGCTCAGTGTGTCTTTTAAAAATTATAAGTAATATAAAGGTTATAAAAAGTGTAAAATGTATATTAGTTATAAACTATTCTTTGTTTTAACTTTAAATTTATGTGGGATGTTTTTTTTATGGTTATTTAAACGTTTCTCCATATTTAATTTGATATAAAAACATATCGTTTATCCTAAGATATTTAATGAATAGGAGAACTTTTTTTATCAGTTTCTTTTTCTTCAAACAACTTTTTGTTATCTACAATTTATTATATTTATTAATATATTTATGATATCACAAATGAATGTTATTAAACAAGTAATATTTTGTCAAGTAACAAATTAGGGTATCCTTTCTTGTGTTAACAATGAAAAAGGCGCCAATAATTTGTTTAACCATAATGTCTATATTATAACATTCGAAATTATTCTTTTTTGTTTTAATTTTCAAAGTATTTTTGATTATATTTTGCAATGGCTTCGTCTAGTTCAATTTTTGATGATCGAAGCCTTGAGTTACAAACTTTTAAATATGTTCTGATCGAGTTCCCTGAGGATAATTTTGCACTAGCCATAGTGTTTTCTTGTTGGATTTTTTTTTTTGCAAGGAAACTTCTATTTATAAGTGTTATTGGCCGGGTAGTGTAAATGCAAATCAAATGGCAAAAAAAAGTATTGATCCCTTACCTAGTTGGAAGATCTAGAATTGCAACATAAAACAATTTTTTAGTAAGCAGTGTCGTACGTCGGTAGTGCCCCAACGTAGACACAAAAGTTTAACACAAATTTATTAATTTTTTATATATACGAAGAAAACGCTATCTTTTCAATATACTTTTGAATGAGAGTGATAAGTAATAATTGCCTTATCTAATTTCTTATCATGGTATTTATGCCAAGTTTGTAATGTATACACACTATCATCATATGTATACACAGTAATCATGAAAAGATAGCGTTTTCTTCTGTCCTTTTCTCAATACGTATTTCAATGTTTATAACCGTAAAATAGTACATGAAAATTCAAATTTTTACAAACTTCAAAACGCTACAGAATATTTACTACTGAATATTAATAAGATATTTTTTTACTAAAATTTTTCTTAAATTCTACTCTACAAAATAGCTATCTTAGATTTTTTTTTTACATTTTATTTAAAATTTAAAAATAATTAATATTTTTAATAAAATGTAAAAAAATTAATTATTGAGATATAGCTATAGACCTAACGTATAACTATTATTTAAAAAAAAAATCAACTAAAAATATTAACTGGATCAAAAGTTATTTGAGTTGTCAGTGAGTGGTGGGCCACCCTGTATATATATTGACGACGAGTTCGTCGTTCAATCTCTTCTCGAGTCCTCCCGTTGGATAAACTGATCAGCCCCAATCTCTCTAATTAGTGGACTACTAAAGGGGTAGAGTTTAGACCCGTCAGCACAGTCTAGCTCAAAAGTAGCAGACTGAAGGGTGGCTCCTTGTCAGCCACCAGCACAACTACCTTTTTACTATACCCACTAAAGGACGGTTAAGCCCAAACACTAGCCAGCTCGTACACTAATTATTAAGATTGACTAAAGGACCAGCAGTCCAACCTAGATCTAACCTAGAACCAGTCCAATCTAGCCGCACACACACACACAAATTCTAAGAACACGGTGAATATAAAATATTTGCGCTAAGCCCAGATTTTTAAATAGATATTTTATTTAACAAACGTATTAAACACAAAGACAAAAATAATATAAAAATTTAACACAAAAATTAATTAAATCTTACAAAAATATAAAGTTATTCTTACATCAACGACCTAACCCGTAACTCGACGTTTCTTCGACAAAACGTCCAGTCTCGTCTCGCCCAGTATCGTCCCCGTATACTTTTTATGTTTCCCTTTTATATTCTTTTTCCCACCATTATTAATTTGCTTACCCTGCATTTCCCTTTTATATGGAATTATTATATTGCTTAAGAGTTCAAAAATTGCTTACTACTACTATTGTAAAGCTTATATTATACTAAAATCGACGTAATTCAATATTTCCTCATCTAATTACTACAGCAGATTGTACTTATTATAGAAATTATAACCTGATTTAGCACGTTTAATCCTTATATTTGGCCAATTTAATGATTAAGTAGTAGGCTACATAGCCTATTAGACTTCTTGAGCTTGGGAACTTAAATATTTTGTTTAGTTATTTATGTTTATGTGTGATATACTTATACAAAATAATTGTATGCTGTAGAATAGTTATATAAATTTTTTTCTGTATTTTTTTTAAAGAAACATTTGAAGAAGGTAATACAGCATTGAGCAACTACACCTCAGATGAGTCTCACATAAAACCTTATAAACGTTTAATAGTTCCCAATAAACGTTTATTAAGTTCTGATGATGAACAGGTTTTTAAAAAGATAAAAAATACAAATGCATTTTCAATGCCAGATATGCCAACATATGAATCTTGTAAGTTGTGGATAATATTACTTCAAATTAAATATAAAAATTATAATTTTTTCATTTAGAACCTTTTATTTATTTTAGTTGATAATGAAGAAAATTTGCATCTGAATTTAGATTCAATAGCATTAAAAGACTGTTCCAATAATCAAGAAAATCAATTATAGGTAAANTACTCTGTTTATTATAAATATTATGTGTACTATGGTCAATGGTGGGGAGGGTTATAGCCTTATCATCTACCTGTGTTATATTCTTACTACTAATAATAATAACTATAATTTAATTAATTAATTTTTCAGATGTTGTTTATGTTTTACAAAATATTACAGAAACAGAATATAAGACTTACTTAGGTCAGTGACTCAGACAAGCCAGCAACAGAAAAAATGAAAAAAAAAACCTTATAGTTTGATATATATATGTGGGAAATGCAAACAGGCAATTACAGGAATAGAGCGAAGACGCAATACTATTATTTAATTTATATATTTATAAATTAATACACAAGAACTCTATTAAATGTTAACAAACAAAAATAACACATATATTTAATTACACACGAAAACTCTATATAAAATATTCACTCAACACAAAAATATTATATAAAACAGAATACACTTATAAACTAAAGAATATACATAGAGACACGTCTTAGCCGACTCACGACTTGACTTAATCTCCCTCTATATACTTGATACCATCATCTATCTCCAGACCCTGGAAGTGGTGCCATCTAGATACCAATAGTACCCACATATATATATAAATTATTATTATTAGGGAATATTTATATATCATTAATTTGTTAATATCATTTTTTAATAAAAAAAATTCAAGAACATTATTTTCGAGTGTAATTTATATGGTTTTATTTTGATTGACTAATTTATGTTTATTTTAAGTACATTACATACTGTTTTATTCAGATAATGTAGTGATAAAAATATATATAATTGAAGTAGAAAGAAAGTACAAAATATATTTAATATTCATTTAATCTACTTATATATGAGTAGATTAAATGAATATTATGTGTTGATAAGTTAACTATATTCAACGTTTAAAATACTTATACTAGTAAAATAAGCGTTATTTCTGTAAATAAATACGGTAGGTGCATCAATGGTTAATAAACGGTTATAATGCTCCATAGTAAACCATTGACAGCTCTTAAATAGACCGTCTATGGTGGAATTGTTAATGTTGATTAAACGCATAATAAACTTGATATTGCACACTGGGTAGTAAATCGAACTAAGTCTAGAAGACTAATTTTGAAACTACAAAGAAAAAATAACGTTTTAATTTATACTACAATTTTCATAGAAAAATTTATTTTAATGATTTTGGGGTGTCGTTTGTACAAATCACGCTATGTTGGTTAAAATGCTGTTATTGAATAAGCCATAATGTTTCAAACAATATGAATATTGTTGGTGTAAATCCCAAACAGATTTGCTTCTTTTTATTGCAGTAAAAAAATCATTGGATAAAAAAAGATGAAGATGATGCTACAACCTGTATACAGGAGCGATCCTAGTAGTAATTTTTAGGGGGGTGTGAAGTGAATTTTGCCGACAAAGTACTTTCATGGGTACAAAATTCTACAATTTATTCTAAAAATTCCTTCTTATGATTTTAATAAACTTTGGGGGATATGACATCCCCACACTCTTCTATGAAATAGTCCCTTCTATACAACATGTTCAATAAATAAAGAAAAACAAGTCAATTGTTACGAACAATAAGAACCCTTATCCTTAAATTTTGAACCCAATTTTTTATATTTGTATATTCTATTCAAATATATTTACTAATTATTATATGTACTAATGTTTGTTTATTTTTTAGATGCTATGTCTGGCCAAATCATAATACCTGAACACGAAAGAACATTTAACAAAATAATAAATAATATTTTTAAGCATTCTGGCAATAATAAAGCATCACACCAATAAAATCGTATTGTATTTTTGTTATTCAATTACATTTTATTTTTTTGTAAATATTAACAAATAAATAAATCGTATAATTTGTCACCCTTTTTTTTATTTTCTTTAAATTCCTTTTATATTATACTATGTTTTTACTAATAATATTTTCGATGAATTCCCAACAGTCGATATCGATATTTTTAAAATTTACTCTGAACTAGTCAAAATATAATTATAAGAATATGTCTATCTATATTCAAAATATAATTAACAAGACTGTGGTGGCCCAGCGTTTCTCAGCGTAAAGCCTTGGCTGGCGCGGACACAGTTACCTCGTTAATATATTTAAAATATTATTTCAATACACCTTTTACTATCCTTTACGTCAACTGCCTACACGTTACCGAAAGGTAATTGGCATAGTCCTTTATGGCTGGCGGGTACACACGCAGAGAATATTTCCAAGATGTAGTTTCCTATCTTACGGACTATATATTTTATGATGAACTTTACCCGGACTACTAGCTCTAGAACTGGCTTGTCGACGGATATAGCGCACTTCAAAAATACTCTTTTTATAAGTTTAGTACTACTCTGTACCTCAACTGCCTACACGTTACCGAAAGGTAATTGGCATAGTCCCTTAGGGCTGGCGGGTACACAGGCATAAAGTACTACTACTAAAACTAATTAATTCTATTCACACATTATGCTTCTTCATTTAGTTCGGCACATTTAAGGCTGTTCATAAATGTAGGGCACAATAAGCTTTATTATGAATATACGATAAGGCTATTATGCCTGTATAAATAAAATTACGCTTCTTCACTCTTTTCGGCACATTTGAGGCTGTCCAGAAATGAAGGGCATAATAATATTTAAAACCTTTATATAAAAATAGAGATAATGTCTATTTATCGTGAGAACATTATGTGATAATAAAAATAAATAAAAACTTGTTCCTGTGTAAAATATTAATAAATCATCTAAGACAATGTTCACCATTTAGGATAATACATATAAAAAAAACTAAGTCACAGGGACAAAATATTTACTTATACTGACGCAGATTCCATGTAAGAGAATATTTAGAGGGTAGTCGTCGTAGTCGCAGCCGCAGAAAATCGTCAAAAGAAGTCCCTTTTTTACGAGAAAAAATGGCTTTTTATACGCCGGATGAAGTAAGCCAGCGATCTCTATTGAAATTCCTAAGATGTTGGATAATTATTTGTGATAGAAACCCTGCCGTGGGCGTAGTTACTGAATTGTAGGGAACTGGTTTGAAACATGTGTTGATAAATAGTTATTTTTATTACCCTAAAAGGGAAACATTCCTTAGATGATTTTTTGCTTTATTCATATATATGTGATATTTAGTACACGTGTTAATAATTATACTACATAACCCCACAGTAATATTTTTTAATATATCAACTATTGCAATTTCACAATTTTCTGTACCAATATTAACTACACCCAAAGAAAAACCTCAATCAATTTTGATAGAGAAATTTTATCAAGGGTTTATGATAATGTTTTATTAATACGAACAAAATAATTATTCTTATAAATAATTATTGTTCAAGACAAGAAAAAAATTATATTGATAAATATATCATAGATTCAATAGTAATGATATATTTATCAAATTGAACGATGAATTTATTATATAGATCGAGGTTTTTCTCTGGGTGTATATATTTCTTGTTTTAATTCTATAATACCTTAGTGATTAACTTATTATGATAAAATATTTTTATTGGATTTTTTTGATAAATATTGTATAACAATAAAGCAAACTGAGTTATAGTAAATAAATTGATGACATTGCTAACATCATTATTTTTATTTAAAATTATCTATTGTTATTAATTTATATTAATTATAACCAAATTGTATGAATGGATTGTTCACTAATTACACTAGTTTACAAATAAAAAAAAATTTTCTGACCTATGACTTATGATAGTCATTTTTTATGTAAAATCGTCCACTGAGTCCGAAAATGAAGTCCAAAATACAAAAAGTAGAACAGTTTTTGAGTTATTGCGAAATTAGCGTTTTTCGTGTACCGCGAAAAAACGTTTTCATTATATTCTTAATATCTTTAATTGCATTCAACCGATTTTCATTTATTTTATATAAAATTAAACAATATTAAATTACCTATNCAACCGATTTTCATTTTTTTTACATAAAATTAAACAATATTAAATTACCTATAACTTTTATTTTAAACAATTTTTTATTTGACTTTTTTGTCGTTTGCTATCCACGAATTTACCACTGAATTTTTATCATTTTTTTCAAAATGTCAGAAAAAATTCAGAGTTTTACGTAAAATACACCAATAAAAAATAAATTTATCAACAATAATTTCAATAGACGTCATACTCTAATACATAACAAAGAAAATGATATATTATTTTGTAAAATTGATAAAAAAATGAAGAAGTTATGCGCGATTGAAAAATAAAACAAATTTCCTAAAATGTAAACATCATGTCAAAACCAGTTCCACATTCACTCTCAGTTAAATATCCTGTTTTTCCAAAAGGAAAAAAGAATATAGTGAATCGCCCGAACCAAGTAATCATGCCGAGTGTAAGACTGACATTAGTTTTCAACATGAAAAAATTCCGAAGCTTTTTACCCAAACTGAACTTAATGATTTAATAAGACATTTGAAACTCTCAAAGGAAAAATCAGAGTTATTGGCGTCAAGATTGCAAGAATAAAATTGATTAAAATCACAAGTAAAAGTTACATTTTACAGAAGTCGTCAGAAATATTATGCTCAATATTATATAAAAAAAAAAACAATGTTTGTTATTGTAACGACATTTACGGTTTGTTTAAAGAATTTGGTGAGCCATATGATCCAACCGAATGGCGTTTGTTTTTTGATATCAATAAACTAAGTCTGAAAGCAGTTTTACTGCATAAGGAAACATCAAACTTTCAATTCCATTAGCGCATGCTGTAAATATGAAAGAATCGTATGAATCAATGGCTATCTCTAATTACTTTCTCTAATCAACTAAAATCGACACAATTGGAAAATTTGGGCAAACCTTAAAGTCATTGCAATGGTAACTGGCTTGCAACAAGGATACACAAAATACATGTGTTTTTTGTGTACATGGGATAGTCGAGCACGTCAAGAACATTAAACACGAAAATATTGGCCAGATCGAGTAAACTTAACAGTGGGCAAAGAAAATGTCAAATTCAATCCTCTTGTTAATATAAATAGAATAATCCTGCCACCTTTACATATTATACTTGGACTTTTTAAAAATTTTGTTAAAGCTTTAAATAAAAATGGAAATTCCTTTACTTATTTGAAAACTGTGTTTCCACATTTGTCCGATGCGTTTACAACCAAACTCGTTTCGTTTGGTTGTATATTCTTTTTTAGGAAACTTCAAAATTTTAAATTATAGAGAAATAGTAGACGATTTATTGATAAACTATTCAAAAATAGGTAAACAG